GGTCTACTCACTTAGCAACACACAGCTAATTCTCCAACCAGCAGAACCCTGCCCCAGCCGTCATTTGGCATAGATCAGCTTTCTGAGGTCTGCAGACCTGATGGTTGAGAAGCGAGCTCTCGTTACTTTAGCTTGCCTTTCTTGGTTACTCGTGAGTTGGCGCATATCTTGGTAGACTTTGGGGTTTTGTCTTCAAAACCAGTAACCGGTTCAATAGCAACTTCATTTTGGGGTTCCTGTCTTCTTGTTGATTGGCTGCAATCCCTTGCATCATCTGGGTCAAAATTCATGTCAGTTTTTTTCCTCCAAGAATTATTTATTTTACTTATTATTATTAATTTGACCAGAAAGAGAAAGGGAAAAGTGAGAAAGTAAGCCACCAGGTCCGGGACTTGAACTGCTGTCAGCCATGTGGAGTCCAGTACTTTAACCACCACGCCACTTACCAGCACCCCCATGTCTGTGTTAGCACTAAAACTGTCTTCCCCCAATTTCAACCACGTCTCTGGTAACTTGCTCCGTGGTTGTCTTCATGGATCAGAACTTCCCAGGCAGGGTCAGCCCGGTTAAAGTTGCCTTGTGGTTCATGCTTTGAGGTAGGTCCTGTGGTTTAAGAAGTCCTTCCCCACCTCAGGGATAGTCACAGGGATACTGTACTATCCCTACCATATACGCTTTATGGTTAGATCCCACACTTAGGTCTTTAACCTGTTTCAAGTTAACCTTTGTTTTGCGGTGTTCGGTAAGGATCCAGTTTTATAGTTACATATCTAGCCAATGAGTTTTCTGTGTTATCTGCTAAAATGTGTGTCTTTCCTCCTGAATTTTTAAGCCATGTACTTTCTTAGCTTTGTGGCCTTACTATTCAAACACAGTTCATGTTCCACCAAGAGGAAGGCACGACAGATGGCTACCAGGCAGAGGCCGCAGCCTGCTGTGCACAGAATGGACACCAGGGGGCACACCTTCTCTTCAGCTTTGGAATCACCTGTGCTATTTACAGGCCACATGAACATGGACAGCCAGTGACTCTGAACCTTTTTCTCACCCCAAAAAGGGTGTAACACTTATTCTGACGGCTCTTATAAAATTAAATGTACCACTGCATGCGAAGTGCTTTAGGTTTGCAGTTTGGTTTTTATTTTTCTCAGTTGCACCTCCTGTCAGTAAAGCTATGCAAGTGGCTCAGTCGTATCACTAGAGCCGTAGGGAGGCCGTAGGTTTACATCCAGAGCCTTCCTGATCACACTGGGCACATGAGAGCCCCAAGAACTGGGCCGGCTGAGACTGAGGGTAGATTCCAGTGTGAAGACCCTGTTGAGGGTGTCTGTCTCTCTTTCTCATGGAGGAAATGGATCAACTTTATAAAGTAATGCTTCTCCTCCCATGTCCCCTCTGGGTCATTTTAAGGCCTCCGTTTCCCCTGTGCACGTGTACTTTCAGAGCGGCCACCCCACACAATGAAATGCACCTGCTCTCTGCTATAAATGTAATCCAGTTACAGATCCATAGGAACTAGATCCAGTTGCATCTGATTGGCTGGAATACATCAAATAGGCAAAGATTCGTTCATTGTCGTTTTTGAAATTTTCCTTCATATTTTGAAGTTTTCTCTAAAGCTTTCAAACATCTTGTGCACGTAGCATGTACCAGGAACTGTGCTTGACACTCATCCAATGACTTACTCCTTAAAACATCCCTACTAAGAGGCGTGTCTGTACCCATTTATAGACGGACAGGCTGAAGCATGAGTCGCTTGTCAGAATTACGGTTAGTGGCCTCTTCCTCACGGCTCTTGCATGAAACAGCCCAGCCTTCTCTGCCTTAGCAACACGAATCTCGAGGTTACCATTAGTTTTTCTGTGCACATACCAGTTCAGAGCCTGTCACCTCTCCCACCTCCTGATCAAGACCCACCTTCCCACCTTCCACTGGGGGCCTCCACCAAGTACCTGGCCAGGACCTCCCATCGGCTTCGATAATGAGTTGATACTCCCGTGCACCACATAGAATGTGACCTTGCTGTGTATGTAGCAAGCAGGATCGCAGGATTTGGTCAGAATATGAAGAAAGGAGGGATGGAGAAACAAATTAGTAGGCAACTGAAAACTTGGGAAAAAGATAAGGGACACCTGAAAAGGCATGGGTGCCACAGAAAAGAGAAAAACGATACATTCTGTGGCGCTTTCACGGTGTGTTTTTCCTTCCGAATCATGTAAGAGGTTCCTAACTACACAGAACTGTCCTGAGAGCTGGGCCTACCTAATTGGAAAGCAAGGAAAGTTGGATCTTCCAAAGAGGGCCCAGGGATAAAAAGACATAGGAAAATGGTGGCCTCAGAATACCGTTTTCTTTCCCCACCCCTAACTTCCAGTTGGGCTGCTCAAAATAAGCCTACCCTGTGATTCATCTGTGGGCCTGAAGGGTACAATTAATATTTCCATCTTACAGATGAGAAGGCTGAGGAAGAGTGAGGTTGAACATAAATAACTTAGCGAGTTTGCACAGCTTAGATTCAGATCTGTATTGCCTGGGTCTGAAGAGGGAACTTAATGTGCTTCAAGTCCAGCAGCCTATCAGTATGAAGCAAGTGGAAAATAGAACTCTCAGCGTTGTTCAAAGGCTGATCCTCCTGGCTTCATAAGAGTATGCCTTCCTGGAGCGTGTGTGGGAGTGGGCGAGGGAGGCAGCTGAGAAAAAAAAAAGGGGGCCTCCCTGCCTCACCCTGGGGGCCTCTTTTTTCTTACCCCCAGAATGGCATCTTATTGTTAGCACCCTGCAATCACTCGGGACAGAAAGGAAATGCAAATTGGGGAGAATTTTAGTAAGGATTAGACAAAACATAAGTGTCTGCTTAACAACTGATGCATAAGCAAATCAAATGCATGTGACCGAATATTCTGAGCATGACATCTCTGTAAACATTTACATATACCCAGGGGTACAGACAGAGGACCTGGCCCAGGGCAATCCAGAGCAGGTGACCTTAAGGGAGGCTGGGGTAGAGTATAACTGACAGCAGAGATGTGTGACCAGAACGGCAAGCGGAAGTAGAGGTCAGGGCGCAGGTGACAGGACCAGAGTCTGGCAGGGACCACAAACCTAGTTACAGACTTTGAGAAAACCTCAAGGACATGGGGCAAGGAAAGTGTGGGCCACAGAAGCCTGGCTACAGTGTGGAAGTAAAAAAAGGCAGTGGAAAGCTCAGTTAGGGAAACGTGTTAAACCATCTCACACAAGGTGCTCCTTCACCGCTGGATGGCATGTGAAAACTGAGTCCCAGCAGCTGTCGGAGACATACAGGAGGCGGTGCGAGGCTGGGCCTCTGAACTCAAACCTCACGCTGGCCTCGAAGTCCAGATGCACCACTCACTGGCTCTGTAACTCTGACAGGTGGCTCGCACCTCAGCCTGTTACTCCGTCTATAAATGGGTACAGATGCAGCTCCCTCACAGGTTCTCATAGGGATCAAGTCACCCGTTGGGTGTCCGGTACAGTGCCTGGTACGTGCTAGAAGACACTGATTTAGCTGTAACTGTTACCACCCTGCGATCACTCAGGACAGAGGGAAATAGAGACTGGAAAGGTGGGACCAACAGATGGCATAATAGTTACACTGCTGGACTCTTATATAGTTCACAGCAGTTTGAGTCCCGAACCCAGCAACTTAAAACTCATGCCAAGCACATGTGCGTGTGTGCCCAAGATCCCAAGAAGAGAGTGGAATAGAAGGGACTGAAGCGTGGCATGCCCCCTAGGGGTTGATTTCTCACTTTCTGTCTGTCTTTCTGGTGAGCACATGCACCCTATAGCAAAAAATCTCACGGGGAAGGTTTTTGATGAGGATTACATGAAATAGTTCTGGCTTAACAACTGACATATGAGATGTACTGGTGGACGCATGTGAATGAGTAATCTGAGCACGACAAGTGACATTTCTGTAAACATTTACTGAACGTCTACAGGTATCAGTACTGCCGGGGGCTGGGAATGCCAATGAACCGAACCCGTCTATCTGTACCCACAACACAGATACCTATGCTCAGTCTGGAGAGCAAGGAAGACGGCACCCTCTCAGCACTGCGTGGGCGAGTGAGACACGTGGTTCTGGAGTACAAAGTGCTGAGACCAGTCAGCTTTGGTGGAGGGAGCATCTGGCCACACTAATGGCTGACGGCCAAATCAGGACGCAGCAAGAAACAGAACTGGAAAAGCCAACGCCACTGACATGCACTCAGCAGGGGCCAGCCAGGCCCAGTGGGCATCAGCCAAGCTTACCCGACAGCAGGCTCCTAGCACCTTCGTTGTGAAGCTGCAAGCCTCCTGACGCTCTGGCCGAGAATCCCAACACCACCGTTCAGTAAGAGGCACACAAGTGGATATTAATACCTTTAATGTTTCTGTCTGTCTTTCTGGTGAGCACATGCACCCTATAGCAAAAAATCTCACGGGGAAGGTTTTTGATGAGGATTACATGAAATAGTTCTGGCTTAACAACTGACATATGAGATGTACTGGTGGACGCATGTGAATGAGTAATCTGAGCACGACAAGTGACATTTCTGTAAACATTTACTGAACGTCTACAGGTATCAGTACTGCCGGGGGCTGGGAATGCCAATGAACCGAACCCGTCTATCTGTACCCACAACACAGATACCTATGCTCAGTCTGGAGAGCAAGGAAGACGGCACCCTCTCAGCACTGCGTGGGCGAGTGAGACACGTGGTTCTGGAGTACAAAGTGCTGAGACCAGTCAGCTTTGGTGGAGGGAGCATCTGGCCACACTAATGGCTGACGGCCAAATCAGGACGCAGCAAGAAACAGAACTGGAAAAGCCAACGCCACTGACATGCACTCAGCAGGGGCCAGCCAGGCCCAGTGGGCATCAGCCAAGCTTACCCGACAGCAGGCTCCTAGCACCTTCGTTGTGAAGCTGCAAGCCTCCTGACGCTCTGGCCGAGAATCCCAACACCACCGTTCAGTAAGAGGCACACAAGTGGATATTAATACCTTTAATGTTTCACATTGTTATTTTTTTCTCAAAAGGTTTATAACAAACATACATGGAGTTTAGTATGAGTTTTGGTACACTGGGCAGCTACAGAAACTAAACAAGAGGAGGCTATGAAGTGTAATCTTTCTTGTGGGGGTGGAGAATTCCGTTCCCCTAAGAAGAGACGATCACAGCATGATCAGGTGTGATTATCTCATATTGCCTACTGTTCTAGCTTCTGAGACTGGCAGACTCAGAAAAAAATCTTAAAGTTAAAATTAAAAAAGAAAAAAGAACGTAATCAACTGTTCTGTTCTCCCCCTCTGTTTCTCTTTTCCCGTTTTCTTCATATGACCAGATGGGACGAGGACACAGACCTTGAGACAGGGTCGGGGGCTCTGCTGACTAAATGCCAGGCAGAAGCATGGCTTCCCCGAGGTGCCCAGAAATGCAGCGCCGTGGCTGAGGAACACAGGAAGAGGGGAGGGAGTGAAGAGGGACTTAAAGAACTGTTGGCAGAAGCTTCATGTCCATAGCACAGGTTCAAAACCTCAACCCAGAGCAAGGACAAAGGGCCTGAGTACCATCCCTCGCTAGTCCGTTTACACAGAACAGGTAACAGGAGCAGAGGCCTCTCTGCAATCACACAAGTCGGAATGCTAGCAGGGCGGACGCGGCCCAGATTCCACCAGGTACGCGTCATCAAAGAAAAGGTCAAAACCACTTGGCTTTTAAATGAAAATCCTTCACATCCACCTGTGTTCAAAAATAATAACTTAGGATATTAACAGTTTCCTTAAAAAAAGTAATCACCACGAAAGAGTTAAATCATACGTGTGGACAGACTCTATTTTCCTATGAATGTGCTCCTTGGGAAAAAATAGATACATAACACACATAAAACTACCCCCCTCAAAAAAAGACAAAAGTTTGAAATGAGTGTTCTCTGTTGCAAACAATCTTAGGTCAACACACAATAAGTGAAATAAAATACGACGTGATTTATTCTTTTCCCCTATTTAGGTGTATTCCTACCTCCAGCATGAATAATGGTGGGAATAATACAAGGGGATAGATATTATTACTTCAAATAGGCTGGTCAAGTCACCATGTTCTCTCTCACGAAAACGTTTGATGATAATCAGCCATGTAGCACACTGGAGCGAATTTGGCCAGAGTCAACTGGATTTACTTACTTTGGACATAGACTTATTTCCAACTGTAAGACAGTTCTCTCTCACAGACCATCCTACGTGACCTCTGAGCTACAATTCACCTCTTTCATGCACCAAGACACTCCACTGGGTACTCAAGCCACAACTTGCTTTTGGATGAAAATCGATAGCTAACATTTTCACATCCAATATTAACACCATGAGAAATAAGAAAAACAATAGTGATAATCAACATTAGGAAGCTCGAGAATGAGAGTAAGAAAATGACAAAGAAAAGGACATGCTGAAACTGATCTGGCAGTCGTTCCATCACCGCCCACCGCGCGGGCTTGAGGCTGGTGACTTCATGGACGCATCCCTCTGATGCGCTGCCAAGAGTCAGCTTGGAGTCCATGACGGTGACCCCAGTGGGGTGCTGCTTGCCTTCATTCACCACCGCCTCCCCGTGAGCTGGCTCCAAGGTCCTGGATGGTGGTAAGCACAGGACACACAGGTGCCAGGAGCCCAAGAGTGTTCCTGAAAACTTCACCTTGGATTTGGCGAGGAGACGAGTGGGTGGTCTAGAGTCTCGGCAGCAGCACCCACACTGGGGCTTAACCTCAGCAGCCAGCCTGGAGGATGCTTCCTCCGGAGCGCTTGGTCACAGACAGTGTCGTAAACACCTGCAGGGGAAGAGAAAGCAGGACATCCTCAGGCTCCTGAGCAAACGAGGGGGCAGGGAGTGGTTCAGATAACCCAGGCCCATGAATAACTACTTGTGTGGCTACTTCAACGAGCGAAACAGGGCAGTAAAAAGGACCAAGGGTATCTGCCATTTCTCCAGAGGGAAAAGGGAAAAACATTTTAAAACCAAGGTGAAAGAGAGAGAATACTCTAGGTTGTATCTAATGAAGAATTTTATTATCATAAGGGTGATTAAAGCAATTAATATTAGTTTTCCTTCTCTATCACTTTCCCTAATTGGTTCTTACCATTGCTATGCATTTCTTCACAGTAAAGCAAAACCAAATCCTTATATGACAAGATGGGATAGTATTCTTCTCTTACCTGTTTTCTTAGTTCAACATTATCCTTCTGTAAGTCATTCATATAACAAATAGCTCCGATTCTTCAGTTCTCACGGAGCAGAAGTTCCACTCAGCTATACTAGACTGTACACACACAGCGCCGTGCACAGTCGAGACCCTGCAGCAGTCAAATATTCAAATACTGACTGCATCACAAATCCCGTCCCAGCTCCTTCTGCTGCCACCCGAGCTATTGCCATGGGCTGCTGTGACAGCCTAGGACGTTTTCTGGTGCACAGAGCTGGAAGTGCAACCACTGAGTGGAAGGTCAGAACTCACTGACTTCCGAGGTGCCTAAAAGTGACGTCCTGTCACTTGCAGTGAGTGACAAGTTCTCTTGTTCCACATCCTTGCAAACATCTGATGGCCGTGCACTCAGAGAGCCTTAACGACTAGACAACTTCCTCTCGTTACTGAGGACTAGCTATACATACAAACGGCGGTTTTCAAACTTAGTCCACAAACCCTGCTCAGACCGACAAACTTGCACTGAAATGATGATTCTCATCTGGAAGAACTAGGGCCTAGGAATCTCATTTTTAACAACAGTCCCAAGTGTTCGAGTGCACCTACTGGAATTTCTTGTGCCACACCAGTGTAGGAAATACACTGAGAACTAGCCTAGAAGTCTACTGCACGGTAAGCTAACCATCAACTGCTTACCTTTATAGTTTCTGCCAGTTGCAAGTAACTTCCCTACGGTCAAGAGTTTTAAAAATAAATACTCATACATTTAAAAACAGATTTTCAGTCTGTCCTCCAGCAGCATACGCAGTGGGGTGCCGCTATGCATGGCTAAGGCCACATGGGAGGCCCAGGGTCCATTCCCAGACAACCTAAATGGCTGGGCTAGTGGTTCATATCTGCACTCCTGGCTAACCAGGACGCTTGGGCAGGAGGAACGCAATGGGGAGACCCTGTCAAGAATACCTACCTCCCTTCCTCCATGGAAAACAAACAAAAACAGAAACTCATTCCTGGACTAAGGGAACTAACAAGTTCTAGGCCCTGTTAAGTAACCTGAAAACTGGGCAAAGGGTACACAACTATTGGACAAGATAAGATCACAGGGGACTGTGGTCCCCGGAACAGAGCAGCATGATGAACCATCAGCAGGCCTGGCTTTTTACCAGGGTGGGGGGTTGGGGGCCTTCTGGACCCTGGCACAGGCAGGGAGAAGACTTGAAGAGACAGACTAGATAATGAGGGTGAGGGGGCTGGAAGAGGCATTGCCACTTCTGCCTTCTCTCTCAGAATGCTGTCTGAGGGACCAGCAGTTAGCGTAATGGCTATGTCACTAGACTCCCATGTAGGTGATCGCGGTTCACATCCCGGACCCGGTGGCTTAAAACTCACACCAGGAGCATGTGTGTGCGTGCCCAAGATCCCGAGAGGAGAATGGAGGAGAAGGGATTGCGGCGTGGCCATCCCCCGGGGGGGTGATTTCTCGCTTTCTGTCTCTGTGTCTCTCTCTGTCTGTCTAGCGAGCAGTGCATGTGCCCTATAGCAAAAACCTCTCAAAAAAAAAAAAAAAAAAGCAAGGATGCTGCCTGAGACTGCCATACCACTCGTAGACAGATGCCAGATAAAAAGTCTCATGCAGAGAGAAATCCAGCTATCCCAACAACATATAAACCTTAGCTTTTATAAGCAAACAAAACCAAAAACTAGAACCAATCGCTCAATGTGACTGTCCATCCCAGGCATGAAAATATAAAAGGACTTCATGTTCAATCGATTACACTGAGAACTGTATGTGGTCACTGAGTATAACTAACACTTCCAGTGGCCAGCCACAGTGGCATGAGCAGCAGGGCACCAGGGAGGCCCAAGCTGGGATTCCAGACCAACCTGAACAGCTGGGCATGACAGTTGCACCTAGTCCTAGCTAACTAGGAGGCCGGGGCAGAGGGCTGCAACGGTGAGACCCTGTCAAGGACACCTGTCTCTTCTCCCCCTCCCCTCTCCTATGAGCAAACTCGTTCTCTGTCTCATTAACAAGAAACAGAAGACTACAAGCTAAAGCTTTCTGGTCACAAGAACTATTAAATGGGTCTGCAAAAGGCTGTATGTTATTAAGTACAACTCAGCTGGAAGGGTGACACTGGTAGAGTCTGTGGGCTTTCACTCAGGGGGGCCTGGACCCTCGGGGGCACACACGAACAAACTTCTGGGCCAGCCGCCCCCTTTATTGACTCCTGATAAGCAACTGGTGTCCTAGTTTTTAATACAGACAGAAAAGCGTAAGAAATCAAGGCCACTTTGTCTTCAGAGGTCAAAGTCTCAGGAGTCAACTTCAAAAAGTCTTTTGAATGAAAGGGAAAAGACTTGTGTGTAAAGTAGGAAAGGTCCTAGGGAAAGCCTTTGGTCTGCTGTGGCCTTAGAGCAGAGACAAGACTGTTCTCCTCCTCTTTCAAACCAATATACCATCAGCATCAAGAAAATTCAGACCCAAGTTCTAAAGACCAGTATGTTAAAACATTTAAAATAAGAACACAAAAGAAAACAGGAACACTGCACATCAAATAAATAAATAAATAATAAGGTTCATCCTTGTTAGTAAAGATATGTAAAAATCCTTAGAATAGTTTCATCTCTTTTATGCTTACTGTAGAAAAAAAAAGATACACTGCATTTTGCAACATTTTCATTAGCACTCTTAAATCCAATGTTGATGACACTAAACCAGTACAACTTTTTTGAAAAGCACTAAAATTCCTTTGTTTAAAGAAATGTGAGTGTGGTTGCAGAGAGGGAGACAATACGTGATAGTGGAAATAGCTATTTGGATGATGGCATTACGGGCAATTTAAAATGCCATCAGACATGCTTCCTTTTCAGTTTTTATCATGGGACACAGATAAAGAGCCAGGGAATACATTTAAGTGAATTCGAGGCTTCTAAACGTGCAGCTCAAATTCTCTCTCTCAGGAACTGATTTAGAAATGCAACTTACAGGAGACGTGGACATAAAACTAAACCCGTGGTAGAAATGGCGGCAGGCCCTGTGCAGTGGTGGTGAGTGGGTGGATGGGTGCCACGCTGCATGAGGCTGGAGCCCAACAGGAGGCCTGGTTTGAATCCCAGACCAGCTTGAACAAGCCAGGAGCTTCAGCACACACCAAGCATCCTAGAGGTCGGGGCAGAGGACTACAACAGTGAGACCCTATTAAAATACCTCTCTCGGGGCAGGCAGGTGGCGTGTTGGTTAAAGACGCTGGATTCCCATACCGACAACCATGGTTCGAGTTCTGGACCTGGCAGCTTGCTTTCTCGCTTTCCCTTTCTCTTCCTCTCTGTCTCTCTCTGGTTAAATTAGATAATAACAACAACAACAAATGGAATTAAATAAATAGTTCTTTTTTTTTTTTTTTTTTGGAGAGTTTTTTGCTATAGGGCACATGTGCTCACCAGAAAGACAGAGACAGAGAGACAGAAGAATCCCTTCTCCTCCATTCTCCTCTTGGGATCTTGGGCATGCACGCACACGCATGCGGCATGAGTTTTAAGCTACCGGGTCCGGGACGCGAACCGCAGTCGACTACATGGGAGTCCAGTGACATAGCCATTCCGCTAACTGCTGGTTCCCTAAATAAATAGTTCTTTTCTAAAAAAGAAAAAAAAATACCTCTCTCAGTGCTAGCCCCAAGGCCTAGTAGTTAAGGAAGTCAGATGCCACATGGCCACAGTCTGAATCCCAGCCCCAGTAACTTGAAAAAACATGCCAAATCGCAAATCCTGGCAAGGAGAAATGGAGAAGGGAATGTAGCGTGACCACACCCCATGGAAGGTGCTCCCCCACACCCAGCAAGTGCACATGCTCTCTGGCATCCGGGAAAAAAAAAAAGCAAACACCTCTCTCACTTCTCCTCCTGTACTCACTTGCTTCCTCCTTCTCTCCAAAAGAGAGAGAAGTGAGCAGATGAGTCAGGCACAAGGACTTGTGCCTGTCGGCCCGGCTACTCAGGACGCTAAGGCGGGAGGATCACAGGTTTGAGGGCAACACAATGACATCCCCTCTTTAAAAAGTGGGGAGTAGGAGGTAACAAAAGAGCCTTTTCACTTTTTTTTTGTACTGACGACATGTTTATATTTAAAAGACGGAGGTGGGCCAGCCAGGAGGAGCCTCCACACTTCTCTCTGAACACATGAGACGCTTATGAAAAGCCCAGTGCTGCCGGAGCTCTCTCTCACACATTCAGGTTTGGCCAACTCTTGCTACCCTCTGAGGTGCTCGTCAGAGTCAGATGATGTGGACTATTACAACCAAAACTCCCATGTTCACACCACAATCGATTTTTTTTTTTAGAGAGATTTGCTATAGGACAAGTAAAATCACCACCCAGGGGGGATGGCCATGCTGCAACCATCATGCCATCTGCTGGTCCCCACACTACAACTGATTTTAAAGCAGCTCAAAGAGGTTTCGTTCAAATGCCTTCCTTTTGAGCTATTGTTTTTCCCCTACAAGGAAACTTGATTAGTTGAAATTACTGCTGTGTAATCAGTTTCCTATTCAATGATTGCTGCTCACAAGTCCAGAATAAATTATCAACAGCCTCCCTCTCACTGAATAATGCAAAAGCATTTCTGATGCTCCAGGCATGAAGACTCCTTCGCAGTTGGGCCCCAGTCCACACAAAGAGTACTTTCATCCTCTTAGCCCAAATCCAGAGAGGCCCTTTGCCAATGAATCTGCTCCAAAGAGCACCTGAGGAATTTGTTAACTTTTGCAAGTAACTAAAGTGATACGGAAGAGTTCATTCAAAGATTAATTCCACGAGTTGACCAGAGCTGGCCCTGAGCTATGGCTACTTCTGAACACTTCAAGCAGTGCTCAGGCCTGTGTTCTGGGGGGTTTGTTTTTCTTTTTTAAGTTTTTGCTATAGGGTGTGTGTGCTGGCTGGAAAAGAGAGGAAACGTGAGAAAGCCAGGTGGAGGTGGCCATGCCACAATCCCTTCTCCTCTGTTCTCCTCTCAGGATTTTGGGCATGCACACACTTGTGCCTGGCATATCATCCAAGCTGCGAGGACTTCCACTGCACGCTTCAGCCACATGGAATTCATCTGCCTTAACCACCATGCCATCTGGATGGCCCAAGAACTAGTTTTTGAAATTTTATTATTTCTAATTCATCCAATGGACTAACATTTGTGAAATTCAATAAAAATACATTGGGAAAATATTTCAAAAGGCATGTAAGGCATGTGACGTTAATACTGGCTTTATTATTAGATCAAACTGATCTTAAAAGTTTCTAGACCTTTCATCTTTGTTTCCATCCTTATCTCATTAGGGACCAGTAACAACATTGTATGCCCTGTACTTTGAGCAGCACTCCCACAGATACCCCTAGAACCTAAAAACAAGAGGTCCACTAGCAAATCCAGTTACTAGCATTTAGTGAAGTCCCTAAAAATCTACCAGTCAAATTGCACTTTCCCTGTCAAACTTTGAAAAAAAGATTCCCACAGTTAGGAGCTGGAAGTGCTACTAGGCTGTGGGGAGAGTCGTGATGTATTTTTTTCTGTTTTCCTATGCAAAAACATGTCATGACTTCCCTGATGACCCAATATAAGGCCAAGGAGTGCCAAGAGGTGCCAGCATTACCAGAAACTAAAAGAGGTAAGGACAGAGTCGTCTCTTGGTTTCTAGAAGGAGCCCAGCCCTGCTGACACTTCAATTTGGAGATTTAATCCCCATGAACTGCGAGAGAATAAATTTCAGTTCTTTGGAGCTACCCTGAATGTGGTACTTTTTATGGTAACCCTAGGAAACAAATGCAATCAAAAAAGCACAGTTAGCTCCTTCCCAGGGCAGGCAGTCGGAGTTCCCGCATGGAATTAAAAAGATCACACTCTTTAACAGCATCCATCTAGATTCTTCGATTTTTAAGCTATAGATTTTCAAAGCCTCATGTTGTTTTCTTTGCAAAAACAGCAGCTTTTTATGAATGATGCTGTAATCTCTAAAATGTCAATATTTTATGCTTTCATCCCAGCGGGGTGGACATTAATACAGAGAAGGATACCAGTCCCAATCATACAGAAAGCAGAGCAAAAGGATGCTGAATTTTTTCCACATCTTAAAGCTTACATTTTAGATACACAGCAAAAAGTTCAGTTGTACCAGTGCAATCAGGAACAGAGAGCAACCAGTTACCAAGCTGCTCCATGAAATCTGGCATCAATGTGCACATGCTGGTGGTGTGTGTGTTGGCAAGCACAGTGTGTACCCTGGAAGCCACCAACTCCTTACCTAAGCTGGTTCGGTATGAAATGGCCCCTCTCAATCACACAGCTCACCAGAGTAAACATACTGTTGGCTTACCATCCCTCTCCACTATCACAATACTCAAAGCCTGGATGATCACTGACAAGGGAAGGAACACTGACACCCAGAGGCCTAGAATGGTCAATTTCCAGTTCTACTGTCAACTGCTAATATTTTAACAGCCTTGCTTTCGAATCTCATTCTTTGACACTTAGATAAAGTTAGACTAAAGCTCTTCCTGGGTGTGAATGGCATCATTACTGACTGCCATGAAAATAATTTAGGAGACACAATAAACAAGCTCATCTCCAAAAATCACTCTCATCATGTTTACCATTTAATAAGAAGTACCCAATTCCCAACTAGAGTTATAAACAGGAAAACTCATTTTAGAGACCAGGCCTTCTTTTGTGGTATTCTCGATCATTTTCAAACTGTCAGGAGATACAGAAGTAGCTCAAGTGCAGCAGAAAGAACACTAGCTTCCGCGTCCTGGATCTGCCGGATAGAAGCTGGATGATGTGCTTTTTCTTATGGCAGAGTGTGCACGTGGAAGAGAGAGACAGAGATGACTGTTGACAGCGCCTCATCATGCAACATCTCCTTCCCAGCTCTGGCTACTCTGAGTCCCGGGGCACCTGTGTGTGTGTCCCACATGTTTTCAGGCTGACCAAAGGATCAGAACTGCAGCTGGCTATGTAGCTTCTGGCCTTATGGGGCACTTGCATTACCGCCCCACTGCAGTGGCGGGGCCTGATGTGCTTTTAAACAGAGCTGTGAACGTGTAGGCGACCTACCTCTGCACAGACGGGGTGGATTCCAATCGTGCTGTCCAGCTGCTGTTTGGTCAGTCCACACTTGAGCGCAGCTGCAAAGCCCTGTGTAACTTCTCCAGCATTTGGACCCAGGACGTGGAAGCCCACTACACGTTCCTAAGATCAAAAGAAAGTATACACATTAGCTCATTTTTCTCCCCTTCTCCTTCTACGTAGCCCAAAGTGTCTCTCAAGAGGCTGCTCACAACTAAGAACTACTGATATTTGGGCTGAAGATGAAAGCCAGCTATAAGTGATGAGGAAGAAAAATATGAAAACAAAAATGTCTACAGTTCTTTAAATACCAAATGTTCTGAAAAATGTTATCAGAGGAAAATAGCATCATGTCCTATATTTGCCTCTCTGTATCACATAAACTATCTGTAGTAGTATGATAGGGACATTCAAACAAAACATCTATGGTTTTGGGAGTAGGCCAAATGATTAGACTACCAAGACACGTCAATATGAAAACACTTTGAAAGCAAGAAAAGAAAAGTTTGGCAACTATGAAATACCTGTGTGGGAATAAACTCCAGGGGTCAGCAGGTGGTGCGATGGTTAGGGAGGCTGAATTCCCACATGGCTGAACAAGGTGCAAGTCCCAGACCCGGTGGTCTGAAAATTACACTGGGTGTATGTATGTGGGTGTGTGTATGCATGCCCAAAATCCCAGGAGGACAATGGAGAAGGGATTGTGGCAAGGCCTTTCCCCCAGGGAGTGACTTCTGGCTTTCTCTTGCCCTATGGCAAAACCTTTAAAAAACAAAAAACAAAACCAAAAAAAACCTCTAAACCCCAGAGTCAGGCTCTCTCTCCCAAGAGCAGAGCAATCGCATGCACTCAGCCATTCATCTGCTAAGGCTGTGAGGGCTAGATCATCCAGCCGATCTCTTAGTAACAGAAGGGACAACTCGCACTGTGAGGGGCAGCCTTCCCAAGGTCCCGCTGCTCCCTGGAGGTCGCTCTGTCACCAGGGTACTGGAACACATTCCACGCTGGACTCTTACACTACACACCTTGACTATCGGCGTTAGGTCAGGGATAAATAAAGCACAACTATTTTGAAAAACTACTATAAACCACTTAAAAAATATATACTATTGGGTGGTCAGGAAAGTTGTCATGCATTTTTGCACAAGAAAACAGAAAAATATGCCATGACTTTCCCGACGACCTAATAGATTTACATGTAACAATGTGGAAAGATCTCAAAAGACAATGAGATTTAAAAATAAGTTTCAGGGTTCTATTTATAGAAGATGCCGTCCTTAACTAAACCACAAAACACTGTATTATGTTCATGCATACATAACTAGGAGGCCAACACACATACAAAAATATAAACATGAGACAGTCCAACTTCAGAACAGTTTTGCCCCTGGGGGAGTGGAAAAACACAAATAACTACACTGGCACAGGATAACAGTTAATACCATAGGATACTAGTTCACAGCACAGAATCTACATTGGGATTAAATGTCAGCTCTACCATTAATTAGGTAAATGATTTGGGTGTAATTATCCAACTTCCATGTGCTTCGGTTTTTCTCGTCTATAAAATAAGGACAATACTAGTGAGCACCTCAATGGACTGTGTATGGATTAAATACGTTAATACGTGTAGACCTCTACATAGTGTCTGGTACAAGGAGGTGCTGAATAAATATAAGCTATTACAAATGCATCTTTGATGGTTTATCTCTCAGAATGCAAAAGCTCTGCAGCAAATACTGGAAAATGCTAACTTTCATGGAATCTGGATAGCAGGTACTTTCCCTATCTTTATGCATATTTAAAATATTTCATGTAAAAAAAGAAAGCTAGCAGATAATGAACGCTAAATAATATTTAAAATCAAGGAGGGGGCCAGCAGGTGGTGTGGTGGGTAAAGGTGCTGGATTCCCATATTGGCGACCAGGGTTCAAGTTCCTGACCTGGCAGCTTGCTTTCTCGCTTTACCTTTCTTTCTCTCTCTGTCTCTCTCTCTGATCAAATTTTAAAAATAATAACAACAAATGGAATTAAATAAATAAATATTTTTAAAAATTAAAAAGTAAAATCAAGGAGTTTGGGGTCAGCAGGAGGCAGGACGGTTAAGGTGCTGGACCCAGGTGGCTAACTGCGGTTTGAATCCCAGACCTGGTGACTTGCTTTCTCTCTCTTTCTGGTGAATGTGCATGCCCTGTAGCAAATTTATAAAAATGATGATGATAAATAAAATTAAATAATAGTTTAGAAAAAAAAGTTTTAGACAGTGAGAAGTGACTGGATCAAAATGAATAAAGCGCTATCCAGGGGTAGTTTGATTTTAGGAACACGCTTTCGCATCAGGACGCATATGACAAAAGAGCAACCACTGTTCATCTTTTCTAGAAATTTGTGTCTTTGTCTATGAAAATAACCAAAACAGCTTCACTCAACTGATGACCACAACTTTTTTTTTATTGGTTTATTAGTAGTGAAAATTATTTTTCAGGGCCAGCAGGTAGTGGTAGTTAAGAGTGCTGGACTCCCACATGGCTGACCACAGTTCGAGTCCTGGACCTGGTGACTTGCTTTCTCATTCTCTCTCTCTCTGTCTCTCCCCCCATCCGCCCGTCCCTCTGTGGTCAAATTAAAATAAATAAATCTAAATAAAATAACTCTTAAAAATAAAGAAAAGAATTTTTTGCATTGTCCATATAATGTCAATAGATCAAAACAGAGGGAAAATAACTACATATAAAAGTGGATTTGCCTGGTATGAAGAAAACTGTTGTGGTTTCACTGATTGCTACGCAGTACAACTAAGGTCTCTCTCACTAAGAGCAGATAACATCAGTAGTGAGGACACCTGACGCTATCCGTCTACATAATAGAGAAATAATGTTTACTCATGTAAGTATTTAATAAAAATCATATCTAAAAAAAGAAAGCTAGCTGCACATACAACTGTTCTTTATGCTGACTGTGTCACTCATTATAAATGATCCCAGGAGATATGTTTATCAAATATATCAACTGACCTTTTTGGTAGAGCATTAAAGAAGTGTTTTATAAAACTCTTGGTTTTTCAAAAAACAATTTGTTAACCATGCAGTAGATTCTTATTCCCTTTTTTAGATCTTTTTTAAAAATTTGTTATTATTGGAGGAGAGAGATGAAGACAGCATTATTGAGACAGGGAGGGAGTGTTGCTATATTTTGATCAACTAGACCGGGGAGAAATGTTCATATATTGAAATGATCACCTTGTAAGCTAAATAATGTAATTGAATGTATTAAAAAAAATGTAAATAAAATTTAAAAAAAAATTTGTTATTATTACTTATGTTTTAATCTTACTAAAGACAGAGAGAGAAAGGAAAGTGAGAAAGCAAGCTGCCAGGTCCAAGACTTGAATCACGGTCAACTATGTGGGAGTCTAGCAGCCCCACCATCATGCTGCCTAGCAGCCCCACCATGCGATGGATTCTAAACAGGATTCATGGCTTAATTTATGATCAAATCTCAAGATTAAAAATATAATAATAATCAAAGAGTCAGCAGATTGACATGGTGGTTATGACACTGGACTCCCACAAGGCCAAATATAGTTCAAGCCCCAGACCGGTGTCTTGCTTTCTCACTTTCTCTTGTGAGCACACATGCCCTATAGCAAATTAGAAAACAATAATAATAAAAATTAATTTAAAAATTAAATTTAAAAAAGCCAAAACTTTATTAGGCTTTTAACATATGGATTCTTCAGCACTGTTTTTATTTTTACCAAGGTTATTTTTCTTTAGGTAATGTGCTAGCTAAGTTAAAGTTACCAGTTTTCATGATTCAATGTAATGCTTAAAAGACAGAATGTGCATATGCACATGTGTCCCGGTGACAACGGGAAATACATTCCTTTCAATGTGGCAGCAGTCCAAAAGGTGTGAGAATCATGGATCTGTTCAAGCCCTCATACTGTAGGTGAGGAAGTAGCCCTGTGAGGTGAAGGAGTTTGCCCACGGGCCATCAGTTACGAGGCACGGCAAGCAGCAGCAGGTAATGAAATCTGAAATCAGAACCCAATTAGGAGCCCTTCCCGGCAAAGCCTCCTCACTGGTGCCAGCTGCTGAGGAGCAAACTTGCATCACTCCTTTTCTGTTCATTATTTTTAGATAGTCGATGACATCATTGCTCTTCTTTTATAAACACAAACACAGAAAGTCTCAAGCTGTCTCTCTGATTCCTTCACTCGCTCAGCTCTGACTGCCTGCTGACGGTGCGGGGGCCTGTGCCAGTGAAGGTGAAGAGGGAGCAAGCAGGCCTTGCCCACTCACGACGTCCAAGCAGCTGGGAGGCTGATGGGTTGAAATACTAAAGAAATGCCCAATACAACATGTGAACAGAGAGCTCCGTGACAGACTGAACGAAATCACCGAAAAGGACCAAGAATTGCACTTACGTTGTCTTTAATATTACAGACGACTTTTGCGTAACATTTGTTGTTATCTCTTGATGGAATTGTCCATTCCAACGGCCAAAAGTAACTGTGGTAAACCTAAGAGGATAAAAACACAATTCAGACCCACTACTTAGGTAGCATGTCTGTCAAACATTAGATACAGTGAAAGACAGTGGAAACTCTTTAGTAATGAAACTCTCATTAAATAATAAAATTCATACCATAAATAGGAATCTGACTAAAAGGTAAGCATGTAAGAGAATGCCCTTGTTCACGGGAAATAAACACGGAAGTATTCAGGAGTAAAGGGAAAGTCAGTTTACCTCAAATGGTTCAGAGAATAACACATACACAGATGGAGAGAAAATATGAAAGTCTACAGCAAATGGACAAAACGTTAACACTATGTGAATCTGGGTAACATGTATACTTCTGTGTATGTTTGAAATTACTTTAAACCATTGAAGGGGGAAAAAAGTAGTCATTCAATAAAGGAGAAAAGAGAAGGGAGAATTTACCTCAATATTTTCTTCCCCAAATTTCTCCATAGCTTTCTCTTCAGAAAGGCCGCAAGCACCATATTCCAAAGGAGTAAATACAGTTGTTGGAACATTTTCATAGTCACACTATTTCAAAATGGAGGAAAAGAATTTTAAGAGCCAAAGGTACTAACTTATCCAAACTAGAAGGTCAAAACTGAGAGAGGAAAGCAGACTGAAAACCTTCCCAAAGCATATTAAATCTAAATCCCAAATGTTAACCTATTAGATTGAAAACCAGTTTTTATAGGCGTTTGAAGTCTGGTTAGACTGATTAAAAAAAGATGCATATGGCTTCTCCATCCATCTACCAAATGATGTTACCAACAATGACACGCTTTTTCTCCTCTTAAAAAGCCCAAAACAATACCGGAGTACCCAATGGTGGGCCTGACATTATGAGGCTGACAGCCTCATACTATCAGTGACAAAAATTGAAAGACTTTTTTGGAACATTAAGTAATAAATGTTAAGGGTCATAAAATCATTTTAAACCTTTGGTCCAACCATTCCACTTTTAGAAATCTATCCTGAAATCACACATTTTATTATTATAACATATATGTAATAATATCACAATATATTAGACGTGATAAAAAGTGAGTGGCAAAGTACTATCATATTATGTTATTACAAAGATGTAATAACAATAATAATAACTCAACATATAGAAAAGGTTGCATGTCTCAACTGAACATTGCTGTAGTTCTCAACAGCAGCAATACTAGAGTGGCTTTAAAAATCCCAAGAATTGGGAAGTATTTCTAACATACATACTCCCAATGTAGTCATTGCAGTCATTAAAAAGGCAATAACAAAAGTTAATGCTTATGACCGTATTTTCCAGAGTGTATTGTATAATGTTATGGGGTTGTATAGGTAGGTATACATGAACAGAAAAAAGGATTTTAGAGCCAAACGAGTTTGTAAAAAACTATATTAAACAAGTAAACAAGAAATCTATCAGATTTCTCAGAAACCTTTAGCATGCGCATGTGAATTATGAAAGAATGTATATGTAACTCCAGATGCATGTGTGAACGGCATTTGCTAAAAACCTAGCAGCTGTCTCTGTACAGAACAGTGAGCCATGCAGGAAACATTCTGTACTTAACACATGGGGAAAGCGGGCTAGACAGTGCTGCAGTGGGGACACAACACAACGGTTAGACACACATAGAAGGCCTCGGATTTGCGTCCAGAGGCCGAACTATGCACGTTGAGCGCACATGGGATCCAAACTGGCTAGGGATGGATTGTGGCATGAAGACTCTGTTGAGGGTGTCTGTCTGTCTGTCTCTCTCACTCTATCTTTTACATGGGAGAAATTAAAAAACAATAAAAAAAAAGAAAAATGAAATTCTAAATCTCTACAACTACAGTAAAAATCTTTAAACTGTGCCCACCTCTAGAAACAATAACTAGAATCCTTTTTCTCTAAAGAGAGCATAAACGACCTTGGAATGTTCTAATTCAAAAGTAAAGGTCGGTCCAGCTGCAGTGACACAGGTGGCAGGGCACCAGTGAACAACACCGGAGCCACATGGAAGGCCCAGGTTAAGATCCCAGGGAGACCTTTAATCCTCTTTAATACTGGCTAGGGGAGCATGAGGGAGGACCCTATTGGGGGTACTTGTCTCTCTCTCTGTCTCTTTCTCTCTCATGAATATTTTCCCCCCAAGTACAGGTAGGCATCTGCTTACAAGCGTAAGGATGTATCGTGGACCACATTTATCCTTCTGATGTAAACAAGTAGGAAATGAGAGAGATACCCAGCAACCCTTGCTAAGACACTGGACAGCAGGCAGTGCGGGCCTGTGACCCCTGAGAAGGCAGGCGATGAGGTGAACCTTGCAATGGCCCAGCTTACAGCACACAGGCAGTTTCTGGGCCCTGTGCAGGAAGAGGGAGCTAAAACAGCCAGCACACTTCCCAGTGACAGAGAAGAAGATCACAGTTCAGGAAAGCCACAGAGGCTTTAAGCTGCAGGGCAGAACACCAGAGGATGGAGCTGCATAAGGAGAGCCCTTGAGGCCTGCAGAGCTTGCTGAGATTACAGCTGAGACAGGGAAAATTGTCCAAAGGAGAGGAAAAGATCCTTTGTTTTTTTGTTTGTTTGGTTTTGAGAGTTTTTTGCCATAGGGAACGCTCACTCGCCAGAAAGACAGAGACAGACAGAAAGGGAGAAATCAACCCCAGAGGGGATGGCCATGCTGCAATCCCTTCTCCTCTATTGTCCTCTAGGGATCTTGGGCACATATGCACACATGCCCAGCATGAGTTTAAGTCATCGGGCCCAGGACTTGAACCACGGTCGACTACATAGGAGTCCAGCGACATAGCCGTTACGCCAACTGCTGGCCCCAATCTTTTTCTTTTCTTTTAATTTATTTATTCCTTCCATGAGTGAGTGAAGGCAGTGTAGCAGTTGCAATAAGGAAAACACCAACCACCCCTGAAAAATGGTGCATCTTAACAACAGCATCCCGGTGAGTGACAGCCACAGCACTCACCTTCACAGTGGAACCGCCATAGAGCCTCTGAGCCAGCAATCTCCCGGCCTGGATGGCCACCGGGGTGAGCTCCAGCTTCCCCTCTAGTATGTCACCAATGGCGTAGATGTAGGGCACGTTGGTCTGCTCCTCATCCGTGACGGGTATTTTTCCAGTCCTGCAGTTCATCCAGTTAAAAATCATCATCAATGACCAGCATTAATGAGGTAGAACAAAACACCTCTTCTCCCAGGAAAGCCCAAAACTGACTGGCTGAAGGGGATGTCCTAACATATTAAAACCAAAGCAATACAGCTCAGAGGAACCGAACAACAGGGTGACAATTACCACTATTTTGAAAATCAAAGGAGAGAACTGTAAAAAGACCTGAGAGTGGGAGAAATAGTAGTTAAGAGAAAAATAATAACAAGAGTTAAGAGTAAATAATAACAACAAGGAAAAAAAGATAGAAAACAAACAAAAAAATGAACGTAAGTGGCAGTGGAAGAACAGTTTTCTAAAAAGCAGATTCTCCAACTATGATAAAAATCAACTTTAAGATTCTAAACCTCTAGAATGAATCAATATTATAGAGTTAAAACAGTATTCAATATGACATAAGTATTTTTTCTTACTTTTCATTGACCTTCACTCCCACAGTTTCTAAGCCAATTTTTCTTGTGCAAGGATCTCTTCCTATTGCCAGCAACACCTGAAAAATTAATGTATTATTGACTATTAACAAAAAGAACCCTTTGCATGAATTATTTAATCATATTTTCATAATTTCATACTCAAGGAAAGTAGGTAGTGACTAAACTCTTGACTATGTCATTACCAAATTTAAATTTTTTTTTTCTAGACTTGGAAATAAATATTTCAGTTAGAAAACAATGTAGGAATTTAAACAAAATCTTTCATTAAAAAAAAATCCTTTGAATATGATAAAGCAGAAATCCTTTTCCATCTCTTAATTTAAAAAAGGGAGTTAACCATTCCAAGTTTAGAGACAAAGACAGCACAGCCTATACTTCAACTAAGTTATTTTTTTAAGTAGTGGATTGAGCAGATGAAAGGAAAGAGCACAGGACAGAGATTCTAGCTCATTTAAAAATTCTGTGCCTTTAGGGGCCAGCAGGTGGCGTGGTGGTTAACATGCTGGACTCCCACATGGCCAGTCATGGTTCAAGTCCCTGATCCAGTAGATTGCTTTCTCACTTTCCTTCTCTCTGTCTCTTTCTGGCCAATTTAAAATTAATGATAATAATAATAAGGATGATAATGATAAATAATTATTTTTAAAAGCATAGATTTTTTTTTAAAATCTGTGCTTTTGTATAGCCATTTGACAAATTATATTTTAAGTTTTACTGAAGAAAACTTGAAGCCATCCCTGTCCCAAAGTGAATTATATCATCTTAGATAATTAAGATGCCATAGACTGGGCAGAACCAGTGCATTTTAGAGATAGCAAATCGCTGTTGTAAGGACCCAACAGACACTCTATGAGCACATTATTTGTTTTCTGGTGCAGTAACGACCTGGGCCCACCCCTTACCGTATTATACTCTCCTTCGAAGGTCTCCCCACTGTTGGTGGACTGAGCTACCACCCTGAGTCGGCCTGGTGTCCCCGCTTCAATCTGTTCAACCTACGGAAGTGATAGAAGTTGTGCTCTAAGAGACATTTATCAAGTAAGATAACTGCCAAGTACTTCCCATGTACTCTGGCTTGCACAGCAGTGATGCAAAGCTCTGTAATGCTGAAGCCACATAGGAAGGTCCTGGGTTCACGTCCCAAGGTCTCCCTTGGCAAGGCAGGGTCCCTGTCTCTCTCTCACAAGAAACAGAGAAAAATATTAAAATAAATAAATCTGTAAATGGAAGCATTAAACAGAAGAAAATAAAAAATAAGAAAGTTGACAAAGACAAGATTACTCTCTGTAAATAAGAACAAAGCTATTTGGTGGTAGGCAAGTACAAATTTATATCTCAGTAATAGCAGTCACAGCATCCTTGATGGCTCCTAATGCCACACGATGCTTCTACCACCACCCCGACTCATTTGTCTTTTATCCTAAATACAGAATCAATCATCGCATACAATCCCCAACTTACTTTAATTGGGACAAATTGTTTTATAAACTTGACACCATGTTCTTCCATGTGTTCACCAATTTTGTTGGCCATGTCCTGGTCAAATCCTCTAAGGAGAATGGATCGAACCATAACAGTGACATCTAAACCAATACCAGCAAGAAACCCAGCACACTCCAAAGCAACATAGGATGCTCCGACCACGAGAGTCTTACCCGGGCAGTAAGGTAAGGAGAAAAGATCATCACTGAAAAAAGAGAGAAAAATAAATGCTCATATAAGAATAATGACTAAAGCAAAGTATTTTTACTTTCATAAGAATAAACATTTTAAGAATATCAGTACTGAATTAGCTAAGAAGTTGTAAGAGCTCAGATGCTTTCCTTTCCTTCCAACTCAGTTGCTGTGGGAGCAGCTCACGTTACCAATGGCTGAACAAAGCAAACTAACTTCTGACGGTAACCCAACTCACAGTCGGAACGGCTGAACTGTTTGGAATAAACCACACACCTGCCAATCAAAATCCCACCCTCTTGCCACTACTCAGTGCACTCCGAGATGGAAAACCTGTGTCACTCCTCACCTGTAACATCATTATTCTCAGTGGGGGAGAAACTTTCAATATCTTGGTTTTGACATATTAAAAAAACTATAGACAGCAAAACCAGACCAGTCAAGTGGCTTTGTGGTTAAGGCAGCTGTATCCTACATGGCTGACTCTGTGGTTCATGTCCTAGACCTGGCAGCTTAAAAAATCAGGAGTATATGTGTACATGTCCAAAATCCCAAGAGGAGAATGGAGGACAAGAAATGGCGGCATGGTCATCCCCCCGGGTGTAATTTTTCACTTTGACTCTGTTTCTTTCTCTGTCTCTCTCCAGTGAGCATACATGTCCCATAGCAAAAAAAAAAAAAAAAAAAAAAGTAAAACTTGGACCAGCCTGGGGCCTGGTGGCTAAAACAACCAGGTCCCATATGGCCAACTGTGTGATCTTAGTCCTGAAGAAACATATAGCACATGTATGTAGATGCCCAAAATCTTGAAAATGGAAAAATGGAAGAGGGATTATGGTATGTCTACTCCCTGTGTGTGGAGGGGTGCTTTCTCCTCTCCCTCCTTCTCTGTTTCCTTCTGATAAGCACACATGCCCTGTAGCAAAAAAGAAAAGTAAAACCTGACAAAAAGCCTTCTAGTTGAGTTAGGACTATATGAGACAAAAGAGATATAAGAAAAGCTTTATTAGAAAAAAATAGCTAAAAATATAAGAAGGGAATGCTTAGGGAGCAGCAGATGGTGTAATGGTTTCATCACTGGACTCCCACGTGGACTGTGGTTCGAGTCCCAGCCCGACAGTTGGGTGTGCGTGTGTGCATGCCCATGATCCTGAGGAAAATGGAGAAGGGATTGAGGAATGGCCATTCCCTCCCAGGGTGGTGGGGGTGGTGGTGGTGGTGGCTGATTTTTCACTTTCTATTTCTGGCAAGTACATGCACCCTACAGCAAAAATCTCTCTCAAAAACAAAAACCAAAAAAAAAAAAAAAGAAGGGAATGTTTATGTCCCTGGACAATTCATGTTGAAATGCTAGCCCCAAAGGTAAAATACCATTAGAGGTAGGGCCTTTGGAAGGTGATATGAGGTCATGAGGGTGGAGCACTCATGTATGGGATTAGTGTCTATAAAAAAGCCCCAACAGCGGCCTCACCCCTATCATGTGAGGACACAGCAAGAAGACGCTTTTTATGTCCTCACCAGACAGCAAATCTGCCTTGACCCTGGACTTCTCAATCTCCAGAACAGTGAGAAATATATTACTATTTTTTTCTTTTCTTTTCTTTTCTTTTTTTGGAGAGGTTTTTGCTATAGGGTGTATGTGTTCGCCAGAGAGATGGAGAGACAGAAAGCAAGAAATCACCCCCAGGGGGGATGGCTACGCCACAATCCCTTCTCCATTCTTTTCTTGGGATCTTGGGCACACATGCACCCGTACCCAGTGAGTGCAAGCCACCAGATCCAGGACTCGAACCACAGTCGACTACATGGGAGTCCAGCGACATAGTCATTACGTCAACTGCTAGTCCCCTATTTTTATAAGCTATCCAGTTCATGATATTTTGTTATAATGTTTTAATGACTTTTTAAAATTCCTCAACATTAGCAGTATTACCACCTGATGGGAAAAATAAACAACAAAACCTCCTTGTTTATCTCACATTATTTCAGAAGGCCCTTCTACACTGACAAACAGTTATTTAAACAGCAGCGCACAGGGACTAGGGCCTGATAAAGCTCAATGATCTGCCACCCTCTAATTCTTTTAGCATCCATTTTACAGGTGCTAAAGTTTAATATGTGATCCTAGCTTTGAAAAAGCTACAAGTACATACACATGCACCATACTTACAACACTGTGACTATCCATCTGCCTTTATTATTGGGTCGTTGGTAAAATCATGACACAGCTTTGCATAGAAAAACATACAAAAATACATCATGACTTTCCCAACAACCTAATATATACTTACATACTCACACAAACGTAAATTTCCAAACAACATAAATCTAAGTATTCTTGTGTCTATACACATATGTCAGCAGTGATAATATTAACTGAGTGATAAAATGACCAGTCTTAGGTCTGAAGTTTTTATATGTTCTTTCATTTAAAATATTTTTTCCTATTCCCAAAGAGGGCACAATGAACAAAGATCTCTGTCTAAAGTCCAAGAACCGGGTTGAGTGGACTTAAGCCAAAAAGCAGAAGCAGAAACCCACGAGACTGCCTTGCCTCTTGCTTTCCCCCTTACCTGCTGATGCAGTATTCTCTGTCTCCAGGGATGCCCAGATAGCGTGGCCTTTCACCAGTAGCAATGAGAAATCTCTCCGCTGAGTAAATTTTTTCTTTGCCTTTATTATTTGTTGCCTACAAAGGAAACAATACATCAACTTTAATAAGGAACTAACCCTTACAATTGTGAACTTTACGCCGGGCACGTGTGCGTGCGTGCCCAAGATCCCGAGAGGAGAATGGAGGAGAAGGGATTGCGGTGTGACCATCCCCCCTGGGGGGTGATTTCTCGCTTTCTGTCTCTATGTCTCTCTCTGTCTGTCTGGCGAGCGCACGCGCCCTACAGTGAAAATCTCTCCAAAAAAAATAAATAAATAAATAAATAAATAAAACAATTGTGAACTTTATAGTTAACAAATGCTATTCACATTATCTCATTTCAGCCTCCTAAAAATTTGATAATGGAAAACAAAACAAAACAAACAAAAACAAGAGAAGTTAAGGAGGCTGCTTAACTAATAACCTTATTCAAGGTCACAATGCTAGTAAGCAGCAGAGCAAAGCCTCAAATCCACGTAGTCTGTCCAGCATTCCTTTTTTTTTTTTTTTTTTTTGAGAGGCTTTTGCCAAAGGGTGTGTGCGCTCACCAGGGAGACAGAGAGACAGAAAGCGAGAAATCACCTCCCAAGGGGATGGCCATGCCACAATCCCTTCTCCTCCAGTCTCCTCTTGGGATCTGGGGCATGCAAGCACACGCTCCCGGTATGAGTTTAAGTCACCGGGTCGGAAACTCAAACCGGGGTCAACTACATGGGAGTCCAGCAACATAGCCATTATGCCAACTGCTGGTCCCTGTCCAGTATTCTTACATTTAACCAGATCCATAGCAAAGGCCCCATAGGAAGGAGCAATAGCAAAATCACCAAATTGGAATATCGGGGTGTGACGACTAGTGTTGGGTGTCAACTTGGCTGGACTAAGGAATTATCTTTAAAAAAAGGCACACTTTGGGTGTGTCTGTCCATGAGGGTGTTTCCAGAGGGATTAAAACATGGGCGTCCAGGGCCAGCTGGTGGTATAGTAGCTGAGGTGCTGGATTCCCACGTGGCTGAACATGGTTTGAGTCCTGGGCCCAGTGACTTGCTTTCTCAATTTCCCTTTCTTTCTGTCTCTTTGTCCCTCTCTGGTGAACACTCATGCCCTATAGCAAATTTAAAAAATAATACTAATAATAAATAAAATAAAATAAATTATCCAACAACAAAAAAGGGAGTCTATGTCAGCTGCATGTGAGAGACCTGCCCTCGTTGTGGGTAGGTCCAATCTAGTCAATGAGGGGCCCAGAGAGAATAAACACAGAGACAGGTCTCTTTTAAAACAGAGTGAGAGAGACTTCTGTTGCCTTAGACGCGAGAACTCAAGGCTCGTCTGGACTCTAAGAAATACACCAGCACCCCCCGCCCCCAGGTTCTTGGGCATTGAGTCTCAGACTGAGTTACACATCAGCTTCCCTGCCTCTGAGGCCTTTGGACTTGGACTGATCCATATCACCAGAGTACCCAGCATGCAGACCACCTGTTGTAGGACTTCTCAGCTATATAATATGAATTCATTCCCAAAACAACCCCCTCTTCTAGATCCATGCAAACCTACTGGTTCTGTCTCCCTAGAGAATCCTTCTCAATACACTGGGTCACAGTGGCTATTCCTTTATTTTCCTCCCACCACCAACCAAAGCTTGGGGGAATAAAGCTATTCAGGATGTCACACGATTACCTTAATCCTATGAGGACCAATAAACTCCCCATAAGCATTCTCATAGACGACCTTTTTCTCCCGCAGAGCCACTCGGTAGCCCCAGTTCAGAGAGCCAATGTGGTTCTGTACAGCTTCTGTCATTCTGTCCCAGTCATGTTTAACTGCATAAGAAACAAGACAAAATTAGCTTTTCGACTGCCTGGTGAAAATCATTTCTCAGCAACGACTCAATCATTTCTCTATGGAATCCAAAGAGCAAAACTTTCAGTATGCAAGGACAAGACCTTCATCTTAACTATATAAGTCATGTTTTTATCTTTAATTATCATACAAATAAATACCGTAAGGCCTCCTTAATTCTCAAGGTAATTCTTAAGACTAACATAGCCATACATAAACGTTCTTCTTTACTTAAAAACGAACTGGAATTTTACTTTGGACTGTCAGTACTGATTGCTAGGTATATAAAGTGTGGTTAAGGTTTAGGATTCTGTATTTTAACAAATCTAAGAGATTCTGGTGTAGCCAGGTTTGGATTTACTAAACTGGTGACCCTGTTTGTGCCAACACCTAAAAAACTACTGGGACCGTGGCTAAATCAAATCCATCATGTTAAGTTACTGAAATAAATTGTTCATTTATTTATGTATGTCTAGGGCTGCTTTCGCACTGGGCTGAGTAGTTGTGACTATCTGGCCCTATACAGTAAGTTTCTGACTCCTTGTTCAGATAGAGAATTTTAAGAGTATATCTTGGGGCCACCAAGTGGTATGGTGACTAAGGCGCTGGATTCCCATATGGCCAGCTTCAAGGTTCGAGTACCTGACCTAGTGTTTGAAAATCACAACAACGAAAAGAGAGGGAGAGAGAAAGAGTG